ACACACACACACGAAACCAGCCCTAAGGCAGGCTCTGTGGGAGGCACCGTGCAGTGTGGAGGAGAGGAAGGGGAGGGGATCAGCTTCAGACGGGGCCCCAGCAGCCCTGACTCCAGTCCCCCAGTCACCCCACTCCCATGCTTGGATGCCTTCAGGCAAGTAGCTTCACCTCTTGGTGACACCCTTGCCTGAGGGGCAAGAAAAGTGCAAATACCCAGCCTGCCCGGCACCTGGCTAGGGCGGTGCTCCTGAAACAAAGGCTTCCTTCTGCTGTGTCGCTTTCTCTGCAGAAATTCCAAGTAAGGAAAGGAAACCCCCACACACACCACCACCACCACCTGACCCCGACCTTCCAGAGCACCTGGCCCCGAATCCCACCCGCCACCTGCCCCAAACTCACCTCACAGGCCCAGGCTCTGCCGAACACCGATGTACTCTCCCCGCTTCCTGCTCTCCTCCTGCCCCTGCCCACCCCCAACCTACAGCTCCCCCAGGCCCCTCCCTGCACCTCTTCAACCCACAGCAACCCAAACCCAAGTGAGGGGGGGGCCATTGTGTCTTGTTTGCATTCTCGTCTGTCCTGGTGCCCCCATGGGGATGCTTTATTGGAGCAGCTGGACCATCATCCGGGAACCTCCCAGGCTGGGCTGGGAGAGGGGCAGGGAAGGTGGAGAAGTGGCAGGTGCTGCAGTTTCCCAGCCTTGCCCCCCTGCCCTCCTGGGCCGCATTGCCACCCCCCATTCCCTCCTCACCGCCCCCCCCCTCTCCGCCCCACTTCCCTGTCGCTGGGTCCCTGATCTCCAAGAAGCGCTGATCTTTCTTCAGGAATTCCCACTTGCTGGGGGGAGAGATTGTGCTGGGAGGCAGTGACCCGCAGTACTACCAAGGGAATTTCCACTACGTGAGCATCAGCAAGACCGGCTCCTGGCAGATCAAAATGAAAGGGTCAGCTATCCTCCACCCTCCCCACTCCCCCAAAATGCTGCTGCTAAGGGTGGGGGAAGGGGCGCGGCTGCCGTCCTGCCCTCGCTCCAGTGCAGCCACTTCTTAAGGCACAGCCAACCTTTGCTCTCTGCCTGCTCTGTCCAGGAATGGGGACCGATGAGATGTGAGGGGCAGAGGGGAGGGGGCTACTGGGAGGAGGTGGGGCTCGCTAAGCACATGCCCAGAGCGGGCAGCACCTTTCCTCCTCCAGCTCCTGCCTCACGCATCCTTCACTGCATCACTGGGCCGGCATGGCCTCCCATCACCTGCCCTCGCCCACGAAAGCCTTGCAGCCTGCTGGTGCCCCATCAACCTGTCTGTCTGTCTGTCTGACTATGGCTTCCCCCAGGGTGTCTGTGAGGTCGTCCACCTTGCTCTGTGAGGAGGGCTGCATGGCGGTGGTGGATACTGGCGCCTCCTACATCTCTGGTCCCACCAGCTCCCTGAGACTGCTCATGGAGACCCTGGGGGCCAAGGAGCTGAGCACAGATGAGGTAAGTAGCTGGAGAGGCGGTGCCAGAGGTGGGAGCTGCTACCTGGTTCAGACCCCCAAATCATCCCAGACAGCATTAGGTCCCAAATGAGGTCATTTCAGGCCTTCACCTCCTCACCTCTCACACTCCTCACATGTGGCTGGGTCCCCCCTGGGCAGAGGGCAGGCCACAAGCACGGGGCTGTGTCTGCTGGGAGGGCCCCCCACCCCACTCAAAGGGCCTCCCTTTACTCTCTCCCCAGTATGTCGTGAGCTGTAACCAGGTGCCCTCCCTCCCCGACATCTCTTTCCACCTCGGAGGCAGAGCCTACACCCTGACCAGCTCAGACTACGTGTTACAGGTGAGTTGCAGGCTGCCTCTCAGTGGCAGGCAGGGAGGGTGGGCAGGAGCCCTCAGAAAGGGACAAGTCATTGTGACCGTTTACCTACTAGGCCAGCAGTTGTCAAACTTGGCTGTTAGAGTCACCGGGAGCTTCTAAAACTCCCAGTAGCAAGCCACACCCCCCACCTATTGAATCAGAGCCTCTGGGGGCAGAGCCTGGGCATCCGTGTTGTCACAACTCCCCAGGTGACGCCAATGTGCAGCTGAGGTTAGGGATCACTGTGCTCGGCTCCCTATCTCCCTTTTCTCATCAAATGCTCCCCGTAATGCGAGGCTCCTGCCTTCTAATCCCCCTTTTACACTCAATAGACTTAGGGACATTAAATTACTTGTCGGGATCAGCAGCTCTGCCCGTCAGCTCGTGGGGGTAGTGCTGTGCCTACCGCATCGTGTGCCCAGTGTCTAGCACGGTGCCTGCACGCAGGAGGGGTGCGGTCCATGAGGCGTTGAAAGGGCCAGGCTGCAGTGGAGGTGCAGAGTGGAGGGGGGAGAAGAGGAGGGACGCGGCTGAGGAAGGCCTTTGGAGTCAGGCAAGATGGGGGCAGACTGGTCACCTGCTGGGCAGTGAGGAAACCCCGGTGCTTCCCGCCAGGACCCCTACAGTAATGATGACCTGTGCACCCTGGCCCTCCACGGGCTGGACATCCCACCGCCCACTGGGCCTGTCTGGGTCCTGGGCGCCAGCTTCATCCGCAAGTTCTACACGGAATTTGATCGGCGTAACAATCGAATTGGCTTTGCTCTGGCCCACTGAGGCCCTCTGCGGGCCCTGCGGCCGCCAGCAGCCCTAGCCCGGAGCTGGAGCCCTCTCTGGACCGCCTCTGAGCACGCCTGTGTCCTCGTGGGAGGGGACAGGACATCGAGCTCCTCCTGGGTGCTTGCCCCGCCCCAGCCCCGGCTCTTCCCTGCTTTGAGGACAAACAGAATAAAGACTTCATGTTCACAGCCCTATTGCACCTGGGTCCACTAGGGCTGGAAACGGAGGGAGGGGCAACCGCGTGATCATGTCCAGACAGGAATGTGGCCCAGAATAACAAACACACTCACCTGACGTCTGCAGGGCTCGAGGGAACTTGTTTACACAACCTTGGGTGGGAAGTTTGCAGCACGCCGGCCCCTTCCCCCCTCCGGCCCCTCCAGGACCAAGGCGAATGCTGTGACCGTAGGCTGTGGATCAGCAAGATGTTCGCAGCACGGAAGCCAGCCCCCTGCTCAGGCTCTGCCCTGATGAGCTAGCCAGGCCTGCCTCTCCTGCACCAAGGACCCCAGCGGCCCCCCCCGCGCCCCTGCCCCCCCCCCGTCCCAGTGGAGCCATTTACAGTGCAGTCCAGGCCCCATCACCTAAAAAGGTGGAACGCCAGCGATCTGACCGATCCTCCCCTTTTACATGTGGGGAAACTGAGGCTCAGAGAACGGAAGGCATTTGGCTGAGAGCACTCAGTGAAGTGTGAAAAAGCAAGACTGGAACCCAGCCCATGAGGCTTGGGTCTTAGGGGCTTTCCACCCGCCCCCCATGCAGGCAAACGTGACAGGGAGAGCCCCCGCCCCCCCACCCCCACCCCAACACACACACCCTCAGCACAGACATACACGCTCTCTCCACCTCCTGGACTTGGGGCACGCTGAGCCTCCTCCTACTCCTACCCCTGGGCCATCTGCAGGGATGTCCAGCTCAGGTAACGAGGGCCAGTGGCCACCTAAAGCCACAGATGCTGCCCCTCTTCATGGCAGCTGCTCACCCCTCTTTTGACCAAAAAGGGGGAGGCACTGACTGAGTAACCTGACCAGGTCCGGGCGAACCTCACACCGCTAGAACGCAGCCTCTCAGGATTGTGGGGACCCCAGTCTCCTCCAGGACAGCAACCCTGCCTGGGCAGTGTCCTTCTGCAGAACCAAGAGCATGATTCTCTGACTTCGCCTGCCTTGCTTTATCTCACCACAAAAAGGACGGTCAGCAGCAGTGCCCTCCCAGCTCCACGTGCTGGGGCACCCTGGCCTGAAGTATGCAGCCCCCCATCATCTCCTACACTGTCCAATAGGATAACCACATACGGCTATTGACATTGAAATTAACTATCACACTAGTCATATTTCAAGTGCAGGAGAGTCACATGGGGCTAGTGGCCGCTGCACTGGACAACACTCTATAGAACGTTCCCATCATCACAGAAGTTCCTCTGGGCAGAGCTGGATTCTGCACAGCAGGAGTGATGGGGCCTTGGGGGCGAGAGGTTCCGGAACAGGACAGACAGACAACTTGGGGAAGAGAAAAGGGCCCCTTCTCTTTAGGAGTTTTCTGGGTGGGGCAGTAAGAGCTCCCCCACCAGGCTGGTAACTAGTGAGATATCCATGAGCACCCCACCCCCAACATGCATCCCCCAATCTCCCCCTCCGTGTGTGTGTGTGTGTGTGTGTGTGTGTGTGTGTGTGTGTGTGTGTAGGGCGATATTTGCCTGGGGGCTTCCCTGCAAGGAACCGCCATAGAAATGCGGCAGGGGCTGCAGAGCCTTTTCCCAGGGGTCCAGGGACTGGAGGCAGAGAGCTGGGCAGAGGTGGGCCACGCAATCTTCTGGGTCGCGGCCGGATTCCCCGACACAGAATGGGGTGGGGGCGCAGGAAGAGCCCCCCTCCCCCGGCCTGCCCCAGAGAGAGAGGCTCCAGCCGAGGTAGGCAGCCACCTTACTGCCTCGAAAGCAAGGGAGCAAGCCCTGGGTGGAGGTGGGGGTGCCCCACGGTGCGGGGGAGACGGCCCGAGCCGCAGGCCCTCCAAGCGCCCCGCCCTCAGTCAAGGCCACGGCCCCGCCCCGCCCCCGCTCTTGCGTCATGTCCCGGCCCCGCCCCCACGCCGGGGCCTCCCCCGGGGGCGTCCCCCCGCCCCGCGCTCCAGGCTCCAGGTAGCGGCGGCTGGGAGCGCTTCCCGGCCCGGGGCCGCGCGGGGGAGGAGGGCGCGGAGGGGGCGTTCCCACGGCCCCCGCCCCGCGGCCCGCGCCCGTGATGTCACAGCCGCGGCCGGCCCCGGCGTCCCCGGGGCGGCGGGCGGCGAGGAGGCGGGCGCGGCGGGAAGGGGCTCCCGAGGCATGGCCTGACCCCGGCCCCTCCCCGCCGACGCCGCCCCCCAGCCGGCCCCCCTCCGCCGGGCGAGCGTGCGCGCGGCGGCTCCGAGGGGGCGGCCCCGGGAATGGCTGCGCCCCCTTCGGCTCCCGTGCCGCGCTCGCCCTTTTACCTGCGGAGGCCGGCGCCCGGCCCGCAGTGCCCATGGGGCATGGAGGAGAGCGCGGCGGCCGGCGCGCGCTGCCGGGAGCCTCCGGGCCCCCCGCGGGCCGCCGTTCCCTGCTTCGGGATCTCGGTGCACCCGGACGACATCCTGCCCGGCGCCCTGCGCCTCATCCAGGAGCTGCGCCCGCAGTGGAAGCCCGAGCAAGTTCGGACCAAGGTACCCGAGCGGGAGCGCGGGCGGCGACCCGGGCATCCCTGTGGGCGCAGGTCCCGGGGGGCGCGGCGCCGAGCAGGGGCATTGGGGCGGGGGGCTGCATGTGTGTTTCCTGGTCCGGCCGCCTCTCGCGCCCACCACACCCCCCTCCACTCGGGCTCGCGGGCGTGCACCCCGGAGGTCCACCTGCCCGCTGTCAGCGTGCTGCGCGCCGCCCCCTCCCCCTCCCCCCCCCCCCCCCCCCGTCGCGGCGCCCTGCTGCCCCCCTGGCTGCCCCGGGCGGGCGCGTACCCAGCGGGCAGGAAGCCTGCGGGCAGGAACTTTTCAGGAGCCCCCACACTCACACACGTTGCTGCCCCTTCTGCACCAGGTGGTGTAGCAAAGCCTCCAGGCTCTGAGCAGCCCCTGCCGGTCCCAGAATTCAGCTGGCCCCTGCGCTGTGTGGGAGTCCTCCCCATCTCCCCTGGCTCTGGCTCAGCCTCCCACCCCACTCCAACACACACACACACACACACACACACACACACACACGCACACACGGCGCCTCCCACACCCAAATGGACACATGCGCAGGGACACAGAGACTGGCACTGAGGTGTCTCTGGCTGGCACCCCAGCTGACCTGTGTCCCCTGAAAAAATGTGTCGCCTGCCCACCCTCCCATCCCTTCTGGGAGCTGCTTATAGAGGAATGCCCTGGGGAGGCGGGAGGCACCTGCAGCTTGTGCTGGAGTGGTAGTGGCTCCTCCTCTGGGAGGTTCTGGACCAAGTGTGGAAGCTGACAAACCCCTCTTAGGAGAAGGGTGGGTAGGTGGCATTTTCAAAATAAAAGATCTCTGGAATATGAGTGCCAAAGCATCAAGCTGGCCGGAGTTAATCCCGCTACTGGCCTAGCATGCTATCTGCCAGTCCCTCCCTCTTAGGGCCTCAGTTTCCCCACCTAGAATTGGTTTAGAGGTCCTCTACAAGGCCCTTCCAGCACTGACACTGTGCCCTATAAATTCCATGGTTCATTCCTCCTCGTCACCCCCTTGGGGAACCTGGTCTCCCAGCCCAGGGTCCATGGTCTCTTCCCGTATGGAACGCAGAGGCCCTAAGGAGCTCTGACCACCAAAGCCTGGGGGCGGGGGGCGGGGTGCCAACCTCAAGACCCTGGATGGGCAGGAGGGACAGCAGAACGCCCTCTGCCTACAGGCGGTGAGAGTTAGCCGGGTGGGGATGTACTCGTCCTGGGTGATCCTCTGCCACATCCTGGTCAATGGAGGTTTCCTTCAGGGCCAGGATGGAGGAGGAAGGAGAGAAGGGAGCTTCTAACCCCCAAGTGGTGTGCAGATTCCCCACACAAATCCCATCCCTGGAGGTAGGCCCAGGGTGCCTGGGCTGAGCCAGAGCTGCCACTGTTTTTTGAACTCGCTCATCCGTCCCAAGCGTTGAGGGGTGTTGAGCTCTATGTTAAATGAGTGTGAAGGACGGGGTTCTGTGTGGTTGTGGGCAGCCATGGGGGGCAAGAGCAGAGATCCCACGCCCCCCTGTGCCGCCCTCTCCCCATGTCAGCGCTTCACCGACGGCATCACCAACAAGCTGGTGGCCTGCTATGTGGAGGAGGACATGCGGGACTGTGTGTTGGTCCGGGTGTACGGGGAGCGGACGGAGCTGCTGGTGGACCGGGAGAACGAGGTCAGGAACTTCCAGCTGCTGCGAGCACACGGCTGTGCCCCCAAACTCTACTGCACCTTCCAGAACGGGCTGTGCTATGAGTACATGCGGGGCGTGGCCCTGGGGCCTGAGCACATCCGGGAGCCCCGACTCTTCAGGTGAGGAGGGTGCCCAGGGCCCTGTTCATCTCCACGCTTTCTTTCTCAGGCCTTGGGCTGGGGAATCCTTGGCCAGCTTCCATGGTGTAGAGTGGAGCCCATGAATGAGTCATAAGATCTGTGAACTCCCTGAAATTGCATGAAAAATGGGTGTGTGTATGTGGATAGCTATGCAAAGAGGGACGATAGCTTTGTGTATGTTTTCAGTGGGGTCTGCTAGGCGTTCTCAAGGGAGGCGCTTGAGAACTTAGGTGAACATGGGACCAAACAAGGCACCTGGTCCCCTAAATGCGGCAGGGATCCTCTTCCTGGTCCATGGAAACATCTCAGCCTTGGAAATGAAATCTGAGCCAAATCCCCAGCGGGTCAGGGAGTTTTGTTCCTCCCCTCCTGCCACGAGCTCAGGTGTGCTAGGAGAATGGCCGTGTTAGTAGCCCAGAGAGATGCCATCCCTCCCCCAGTGCGAGCTCCTTCCAGATGTCCTGATAAGGTGGGAATCCAGGTTTGGGGAGCTGCTGAGCTTCCAGAGGCTCACAGAACCCATGGTCCCCAGCGAGGCAGTCCTGTTCAATGCCTAGATCGATAGGACCTTCAAGCCCTGTGGCTGTGGGGCCTGGTGCACTGTTCTCTGTGCTGGGCAGGGAGGTTGGGCAGGATCCACCGTCCTCCCTCCAATGCTATGGCCATGTGCAGGGCACTCAGACCAGAGTGAGTTCCCAGGTGACACCGGGGACAGTGGCACAGGGGTCTGCCCAGGACCCTTGGGCTCTGTCCTGTCCCGCCCACAGGGAAGGAACCTTCCAAGTTCCGAGGGGCAACAACAAAGCCCCCCGCCACCCCGCCCTGGGAGTAGACCAAACACAGCTTCTTTGCTCCCTCGCCTGCTGCCATTCGCCCCAAGTTAGTGTCCCTGGCCCTATTTGCAGGGAACCCCTGTCAGGCCCCCTAGGGACTTAGAGGGAGGGAATCTAAGAGCCCCCTCACTCCTCCCCAGGGCTCCTGAACGCTGCTTCTGGGGCTGCTGAGGCCCCAGCAGATTCCCTTGAGTCGTATTTTGTAGCTGTGTGTTTGCATCTGGGTTTGGGGGATACACAAACCCACTTAAGGGGCATCCCAGGCTCCCCGCTGAGCAGCTCCACATGCACCCAGGCTGGAGAGGGAGGTCTGAGCAGGGCGGAGGGTGAGGAGCCCTGTCCTGCTTCCCCACCAACTCCTCCCAGCTCTTGTGCAAATAGCTCCGATATTGGCAGGTCCTCACCACGCCCAGTCTCACCGCCCCTGTGCATCTGAGGCTGTCACTCACCCTCTCAGGCACATAATTACCATTGTCAGGAAGAGGAAGATGGATTTAGGTTCAATAAGAAGAACTTGACAATATTCAGGGGAAAGCCAGAAGTTGGGCCAAGTGTAGGAGGTGGCCCTTCCTTGATACTCTTCCCAGGATAGACCATTATCTTCCTGGGATAAAGGTGGGTCTTTGAGGAAAGGCGGGGGTGGGGAGGGGGGGGCCTTTGGGAGCCACTTCCCCGCGTGGCCCTGAATCCCACCCCCCAACCTGCGCCTGTTGAGGCTCTGCAGCTTAGACGCCGCGTGTTGAGGTTAGCTTTCATTGCTATTCCAGACGGCATCCCTATTGGTATTCAAGGAAACACTCTGTTCGGAATCTTCCTTTGGGGAGGGAAGGCCTGGGTCCCAGGTCTGTTTCTCGCCTCGCCCACGCCCTGGGCTCCCTCCTCTTCCAGGGCCTCCGGCCTCTGAAAGCACAGCCTTCATCTCTCACCCACTCAGCTACTGCCACACCCCCCTGCCCCCTCCACCCTTTCGGGAGGTGGGAGCCTTGGGGGCCTCCAGAGGAGCCCCCCAGAGTGGCCTGTTACGCTGTTGGGAGATGGCCTGTCCCTTCCCAGGACCTGGCAAGGGGCGGGGGTGTCCCTGGACAGCTCGGCAACAAGGTTTCAAACAGCCACGGCCTTTGTTGTCTTTCCTCGATTATTATTGGAGCAACAGGCAGAGGTAAAGGAAGCTTGAATGTTGGAGGCTTGGCAGCCGGTGGGGGTGGGGCTCCAGAGGGGGAGCTGGCCCAGGCCTGGGGGAGCCCAGCTGGGACCCACGCCTCAGATGCTGGGTCCTTATCAAGGCCCTCCCTCTCTGACGGTCAGCCCTCCACCCACCTCCCCCCTCTGCCAGCAGCCTTCCCCTGAGCTGCTTTCTCTTCTCCCCACCGCCCCTCCTTCTCTCCTGGGACCTTGGATAATGTCCACAGGAGAACTTGAAAATAGAACGCTGGTTTGTTTTGCGTCCTTGGCACCCAGCCGCCAGCATCAACTCCCTGCCACAGAGGAAGGGGCTGCCCTGGGCCCGCCTGCGTCCCTCCCCACCTTGGCCAGGCTGATAAGAGGCGGGCATTTCTCCCTGCCTGGCATTACCACCCCTGATCCCTTGGTGCCCTGCGTTCACTTCCCCCTGAGGGTCAGAGTCCAGGGGTGAGGAGAGGCACCGGCCCCATCCCCAGTGATCCCTCTGTCCTCATTGGGTACATGACCTTGGGGTGGGGCAGGGTCACTGACCAGTGGCCAACAGCCCACTGCTTTGCCCTTCTGCTAGGCCAGCTCTCGTTCTGGAAAAGGACCTGCTAGGCCAAAGGCCAAGCTCATTTTCATGCCTCCGCTGAGATGTAGAGAGCGCTCTGGAAAGATAGGTCATAGCCCCAGACTCTGCCCTCTGGCCAGCCCCCTCCTACAGCGTAGGGCCCCTTTCCGGTCAGGAGGGGCTGATGCTCTACCCTTCCTGTTTTTTGCTATAGGCTGATCGCCTTGGAAATGGCCAAGATTCACACCATCCACACCAACGGCAGCCTGCCCAAGCCCACCCTGTGGCACAAGATGCACACTTACTTCACCCTCGTGAAGAACGAGATCAGCCCCAGGTACGGGGGTCTGGGTGGGCTCCAGGCTGCCACGGCCTCCGCCGCCTGAATGCGATCCCGCTCCCCCTTCCATTGCTGCACCCCACCCTGCAGGAGGGTTAGCCATTGCCAGGGAGAGTTGGGCCCATTGAGAAAGCTGAGGACCTGGGATCCACAGGTTTAGACCCATGCATGTGCTTCTTAATTCTTTTTTTAGTCCTCACCCGAGGATATGTTGTTGTTTTCATTGATTCTAAAGCAGCGGTTCTCAACCTGTGGGTCGCGACCCCTTTGAAAGTCGAACGACCCTTTCACAGGGGTCGCCTAAATACATCCTGCATATCAGATATTTACATTACGGTTCATAACAGTAGCAAAATTACAGTTATGAAGTAGCAACGAAAATAATTTTATGGTTGGGGGTCACCACAACATGAGGAACTGTATTAAAGGGTCGCAGCATTAGGAAGGTTGAGAACCACTGTTCTAAAAAGAGAAGAAGAAAGGAGGGAGGGAGGGAGGGAGGGAGGGAGGGAGAGAGAGAGAGAGAGAGAGAGAGAGAGAGAGAGAGAGAGAGAGAGAGAGAGAGAGAAACATCTATCAGCTGCCTCCTGCACGCAGCCTGACCAGGGATCGAACCTGAGACCCTTCAATGCACGAGATGACCCTGTAAGCACTGAGCAACACCGGCCAGGGCTGCTTATTTCTTCGTGAGTCTGCTGGTTGTGGCAGGGCCTAGGGTCAGGGACAGTGTCTCCCATTTTACTTAAAGGGCACCGAGGCTCAGAGCTCAGCTTTGCCCAGTGTCAGGGCTACTTGAGCTGCCTTCTAGCCTGAGGAGGAAAGCCTGTCCTCTGGCTTTCCTGACCAGTCAGAAGTCAGCTCATCGGCTGAGAAGGCCTTGGGACACCAAGACTCCTGCTGCTTGTCTGGATGCCTCTCATCCCCTCGTGCCCCACCCTCACCCCCACCCCCGCCTGGCAACCTTGCTTTCCACCTTATTCCGACTGACAGCTCGCTGTTTCCTCTCTGCTCTTTTCATCACCATCGTGACATCACCTTTCCCCAGATAAGACAGGACTCCCGGATAAGCCATCTGAGAGTCCGTCTAGCCTCCAGATACCTGACTCAGCCGCTTACTCTTGAGTGTTGAGTCAACAATGGGGGCAAGGAAGAAAGAGTGGTGTCACCCTGCCCCCCCCCCAAAAAAAAGGCTTGAACACCGTTTTTCCAGGTGTTCATGGGATGGGGTACACAGGTCTGAGGACAGGGTACCTCCTTCCCTCCTTGAAGATGACAAGACATGAATGGCATCTCTCCCGATCGTGTGTCCCTGTCACACTCGCGCACACAGGATGCCTTATCTGGGTCCTCCCACTTAAGGATTATCAGACGCTGCTTTGGGACTCTGTGTCCAGCATGGCTCATGTTCAGACCTTCTATGTTAAGTGTTATCTCTGGGACAGGAGCCGCCTTGCCTCTTGGGACTAGAACAGCACACAGAGGGTAGGATCCCCTGGCATCTCAGCCAACAGGACCTGAGATCCCCCAGCCCACCTCTTCCATTTTACAGATTAAGAAACTGAGACCCTGGGTGGGGATAGGACTTGCCCAAGGTCATTGCCATCAGTGGCAACTCGAGGACCAGAGTCCAGGCCTGATGCTCAGGCATAACCCTTGCCACTGCAGCTTCCCTTGAATCTGCGGTCACTGTGTATCCTTTGCGGGGTTGGGGGGGGGGGGGGGCGGAGCGGAGTGACCTTGTTGGGAGGAGAGTCTTCTCTGGAGAAGAACTGACCAACTCCCTTTGTTCTTGTCACACTTTTGACCTTGGGCAAATCAACTTGCTTAACTTTCTTAAGCCTCTTTAGGAGGTGATGCCCGCCCTGCCCTTGCCCAGGATACCCCATAGCAGGCTGTGATGAGCAACCACTCAGACAAGATGCAGCACCTGAGTCCTGTAATAACCCTGTCTCATAATTTTCCTAATAACCCTGATGTAGTCCATCCTTCATTTCACAAGCACGGATTGATTGGGATTTAAAACAATAAACATACCAAGGTGGCAGTGGCTCTGCCCACAGAAGCTTAGGGACCCCTCTGGGTAAAGAGGTCCTGCCCGTGCAGAGCCATAGAAGGAGGCAGGGTGTGTAGTGTGCGCCAGGGGTGGGAGAACCAGGGACGGTCTTCCTAGCAGAGATGGGAAGGGAGGCGCTCTGGCTGGAGGAGGTGGCCTGAGCACAGCTTGCTCGTGGATGAGGGGTAGACGAGTTGGCCGGAGCAGATCTTCAGGAAGGGTTGGGAGGGGTCTGGAGAGAGAGAGCTGCAGGGGTCGTGTGAGCTGGAGCAAGCGTGTGAGGGGGCCTTGAAGGTCAGGTTAAGGAACGAAGATTCAGTTTGGCTGCAGTGGAAAGTACTTGTGAAGGTGTTTGAGCTGGGGACTCAGGTCAGTAACCTGCCCAGGACGTGGTGGAGGCGGGAGTTAGGGCAGCAGGGATTGGGGTAGGGAGACCAGCTGGAGGAGTGTTACAATGGAATGGGCAACAAACAGTTAGAACTAGGGGAAAGGTGAACGTCGCTGATGTGCGGGAAGGCTAAATAGCCATCTCAGACGGTGAATAAAGAAAAATGGAATTTATTTAAGGAAACGGAGGCAGAGGATGGGGATGTCCAAAGGGAAGGGCCACCCAGCACTGAGCCAAAGGGTACTGGGTCCATGATGACAGCAGTAACACACTTAGGACAGTGACACAAGGAAGGGCATAGAGGAAGCCACAGGGGAGCCTCGGCTGGGCTGCTGTGGCTCAGGGAACCTGCCTGGGAGACAGGTTCGGGGAGTGGCCCGGGACGAGCTGCCGCTGCCTGTTGCGCCCCTGGTTGGGGTCTCTTACAGGGAAGAGGGGGAAGGGAATGGCTCCTTGAAGGGAGAGCACTGCGCGGCTGGGTCCCTCGTCCGGAGAGTATGTCTCTCTCTTGCAGGTGGAAATCCTAGGGGAGGTCTCGGAGGGGGAGGAGGGCGGGGGGGGGGGGTTCTCAATAGAATATTCATCAGCCTTCCAGGTGTGCTTTTTTAGGTCGTGGTCTCCACTGATTGGTTGCCGTCAGGGCAGAGCGTCATTAGTCAGTTTAGCTGGTTCTGAGGCAGCCAGGGTGGCACTTGTCTGGTTTTGCTGCTTTTCTGGGCCTGGAGCTGAAATTCAACTGAGGCCAAGATGTTATCTTCAGGGAGGAAAGGTCATGATCAGCGATACGCTAGGGGAAGACAGAATACCTGGGTACAAGGGTCTTGTTTTCCAAATCCGATCCCGAGAGCTGAGTGGACACTGGCCAGGCGTCCGTCCCTTCATCAGGGAGAGCCCCAGGCCCCGTCACCCGCCCCCGCGGCCTCGGAGGGACAGGAGCCGCCGCCTGGCGTGTGAAAGTCTCCGAGATGCCCCCCCTGCCGGGCCCTCAGCCCTGGAGAGGATGGGGTGTCGGGGCTGAGGGACGCTGTGCTGGCGAGGGTCCAGGTGCTGGGGGAGGGAGGGAGGTCAGGACTGTTCCCACGGTAACCATCTGTGTGGCCTTGGGGTGGGTAGTGTGGGGTCAGACGGAGGTCAGGGCCTGGGCAGCAGGCATCTTGGATGGCAAAGCCATGTTTTTCAAGCTGAGACCTGGGCAAAGCGAAGGAGGCCTCCTCAGTTTTATCTTTGGATGGTCTCCGTCCAAGAAAAAGGAGAATCTTTAAAAAAAAAAAAAAAAAAAAAAAAGGTAGCTTCTTAGGGAGAGCCAAGAGGGAAATGCATGCTATGCAGCCTGTGGCTACAGATAAACTCCAGTGAAGGGGGGGCGGGAGGCCTCCCTGACAGCCCCTAACAGATGCCTGCGCTCCCAGGGGCCTGCGCTCCAGGGGGCACCGGGCCCTCGTGGTTAGAGGCCTGGCTTGATGCCCATCCTTGGACGGGCTGAGGCCCGGGCTCCTTAGTGAGGACGCAGAGGGTCTAGATGTACAGGAGACACCTGAGGCTGGAAGGAAGACTGCCCTTCCTTGAGCCTCAGTTTCCCCATGCGGCTGATCTGGAGACCAAGGATCCTCTTTAGCTTTGACCTCCTCAAAGTGTGAGGCAGTCTGCCACTCACCCATCTCCGGGGGGACGTGGGGACACGTTAGACGCCGAGGACTCTTCCACACATTCCGGTTTCTGGGCTGGGGGTGTGGGCACCCGTGGGAGCTTCGGGAGGACCTCTCTCCATCTCACCCCCCTGCACATCCTCTCGCTGCCCTGGACGAGAGAGCACACAGGACATGCCTGCGTGGAAACACGCCGCCAGCCCCTCCCCTCCTCCATGGGTGGTTCTGGGGTTCTTTCTAAGGGCCCTGCTGACTCATTGGCTCTTCAGTGTGCACGGAACCTGTGCTTCCTGGGGCCGCAGTTCAGAGCTTCTGTGCACAGCGTCTCCTCATCAGCTTCCCAGGCCTCTGAGGGGCCCATTCATTCACTCCTCAGTGTGTGCAGTGGGAGCGGGTGGGGCAGAGGGGCTCCAGGAGCTTTGTTCCTGCCCTCAGGTGGCCCACACCCTCTGGCCCTCAGGGCTCTGGGACAAGGAAACTCACACTCCTCCTTCAGGGTGGCAGGCACGATATCGGGGAGCTACACCGCCGGTGCTCCCCTCTGGACGGTCCCCATGCGCCCTGGGCCTCGCAGGAGGGAGCCCAAGAAGCACCTTCTTTGCTTGCTGCTGTGGCTGCATGGCTGCCTGTGGGATATGAAGTGAAACTATACGATCCCGGTGCCGCCGGCTGCCAGAGCGTGAGGGACACGGACCAGCACATCTCTGCCTCCCCCGGAGCGTGCCAGCGCTCCAGCCCTGCCGGGCCCTTCATCTGAGGAACTTCTCAGGGAGCCTTGTTTTAGAGCGGCCCCTTCCCCAGGAATCCTCCCTGCACCTCCCTGCGTCCTAAGATCAGGTCTGTGCACCCTGCACAGCTGCCCCTGTTCTTACTCAGAGATCAGTGCGTTCGGTCACTCATCCTCACCTCCCCATCCTCCCTGGGCCTCCTTCAGAACCTCCCTGTCTCCTTCACGAAGTAGCAGGGATGTCCTTCCATCAGGGAGGATGGTGCTTTGCAAAATGCTTTGAAGCCAGGGTTTCCATCAACTTCTTAGAGTAACCATGGGTCATCAGGACAGGAAGCCCTAGTGCCATTTTGCAGATGACAAAAGATTGGCCATATGTCCAGGTTCCCTCTGCAGCACGAGGTCATGAGGAGGCCAGAGCTCAGGGCTTTGGAGGCCAAGCCCCTGCCTGTCCACCTTCAGCCACCCCCCCTTCTCAGTCCCCCCTCCACGGCCCCCTCTCTCGCCCCCCAGCCTTTCCGCAGACGTCCCCGCGCTGGAGGTGCTGGAGCGGGAGCTGGCCTGGCTGGAGGAGCACCTGTCCCAGCTGGGCTCCCCTGTGGTGTTCTGTCACAACGACCTGCTCTGCAAGAACATCATCTACGACAGCACTAAAGGTGCGGCTGCGTCAGCCCGGGCGGCGGCAGGTCCTGCTCCCAAGGCTGGTCCCGGGACAAGACAGGAGACTTTTCACTTAGATCTTAAGTTCATTTGTAGGAGAGAAATGGAAAAGGAGCAAATTCCCCCTTAGAAAAGTCTGTGCCAGGAAAGGGCTCACCGGCAGGGTGTGTGGAGGTCTTTCATGTCGGGGCACCCGAGTGACACCCCCCACAATGCTTTGGTCTTCCCACGCCTTCTCGGCTGTTTCAAGCCTTCCGGTGGCCTGACCTGAGCTTCCCCCAGGGAACCCTTTTGCTTTATTTTTATTATTATGATTATTTTTAAATATATATTTTTATTTCAGAGAAAGGGGCAGGGAGAGAGAGGTAGAAACAGCAATGATGAGAGAGAATCATTGATCAGCTGCCTCCTGCACACACCCCCACCCCCACTGGGGACCGAGCCTGCAACCCAGGCATGTGCCCTTGACTGGAATCAAACCTGGGACCCTTCAGTCCGCAGGCCAACGCTCTACCCGCTGAGCCAAACCTGCGAGGGCGGGAGCCCTCTGGTTTAAATCTGGCCCTCGACCATGCTGAGGACAGATGTCTTTACATGGGGAGAGCCCCAGGGACTAGCTCTGTGAGAGGGACAGCTGGAGTGGGGGAGGGCAGGTGGACGGATGGACAGATAGAAGGAAGCAGCTGAAGAATGCTGCCGAAGAGGTTGGGTGAGGCCAGCTTGCTGCGAGGCCAGCACAGGAGTGGTGAACTGCACACAGCGTGACCGGGCTTGTCCAGGTCTCCAGGGCCGACCTCCGCGCTTCTCTACCCCACAGGTCACGTACGGTTCATTGACTATGAATATGCCGGCTACAACTACCAAGCTTTTGACATTGGCAACCATTTCAATGAGTTTGCAGGTGAGAGGGGCGTTGCTCTTTGGCCTGCGTCCAACATTCCCTCTGTATGTTGGCTGGCCAGGTCAGGGAGAGGATGAGAGGGGTCCTGTACTTGGGGGTGGAGCCTAGACAGCCCCTGGGGCGGGGAGGTGGATGGGGAGACACAGCCTGCATTGGAGAGCACCAAGTCTCCTGGGGGAGGCAGGACCCACCTACACAGGGCACACCTGTGGCCAATCTGGCAGTTTGGTACAAAGTAGGAAGGCATGCATACGTAGGATCCCTGGCTTGGCGTGTGACTTAGAAAAAGACCCCTTTCTCTGGGTACATGCAGCCCTCGCCAGCTGGGCCAGCACAGGACAACCTCAGCCTCGACTCACCCCCTTGCCCAAGCTCCTTTCTGCCCAGTGCAACCTGCAGGCTTGTAGACGAGGGCCCAGCAGGCAGGTAAGTCGCAGAACAAGCTGTAAGCAGCTACTTGCCTGGGGCCATTATGAAAAGAACCTCGTTGAAACTAGTTAAAGTATGTCCTCTGCGGCTTGGCTCCCTGACTTTAAACCCTGGCTCTGGTGCTTGCTGCCTGGCCCTTGCCTTCTCTGTGCCTCTGTAGAATGGAGATAAAACACTAGGACCTGCTTCTTAGTATCCATATGAGACACACACACACACAAGTATGGCACATACTAAGCAGATATTAGCACTGGCTGCTGATACCAGGACGGGAAGCCTTCTGCAGCCCAGAGACTGGAGCAGGGCTGGATGGTGGACGCGGAAGTGTTTCCTGGGAGTAGGCGGTGTGTACACAGAGTCAATGTGTAGGGAAGCAGGGTGATTGTGCCCAGCTTGAGAGCTTGTTATAAAACAATTCTGTAGGGTGAAAAGCTACGCCCTGACACTGGGGTTGGAGGGACACCCCAGGATGGCAGTGTGAGGTGCCCAGCAGCCCCTGAGGCTTAGGATAAGCCTCACCTGGCCCAGCTTCAGCCACTCCGCAGCCCAATCTAGGCCAATCACGACCCTTCTGGAACCCCAGCTGACCAGGTCTGTTGGCCTATCGAGTGCTAATTATACCCGAGGGTATGACTCCCAGGCACCAGAGGCTCAGCTGGGCAGAGCAGCTGAACTGTGGGGGTGGCACGAGCTGAGACTGGCATCTGCAGGGCACTGGGGCCGTGCGTGCTCAGCTGCCAGGCCCACTGACCCTTCCAGAAGGGATCATTCCTAAGCATGTTAAGTCCTTCTCATCCACCACACAGAGCGAAGTCCAGCTGGAATTTCTCCCAGAGGGCAGATTGCATCCTGCTCCTAAGTTGAGAATGAAGGAGGAGGACTGAGCATGGAGGGGGGGCGGGGAGGGGGGCAAGGAGAGGGAGCTGGGGAGAGGGACCTCCAGGGTTCGTGGGAACCAGGGGGCCTGTTACTGGGAGCTGGAAATCCCATCCTGAACCCACCTCCAACCAGCTGCCTGACCTTGACCAAGTGCCTTCTCTCTGGGCCTTAGTTTCTGCATCTGCACAAGGAGATTCCTCCTAGCCATACTCTTGGGGCCCTGGGCGACCGAGTGTGTTTCTCCAGAAACCTAAGGGAAGCGAGGGAAGGAAAGAAGAGGGAGGAAGAGACCGGGGAAGGTGGTCCAATCCTAATTCTGTCTTAAATAAACTGCTGCTTTCTGTGCCAGCTCTAAAGCCCAGGCCTCTGCCGCTGTGCCCGGGATGTGCCCAGGTGCTGGGCTGGCAGCTTGAGGACTCAAGGAAGGGCAGGCCAGAAGGGATGGAGGCCACCCAGTCCTGGCTGTTCCCCAGTCGTCTGGAGGATTGGGTGGGGGCAGGTGCCTTGGAAGCTGCTGTGAACGCTCTCCGTGATGTTTGAGTAGCCGGCCCACAGGAAGCAGCGTTTGAGTCACACAGAGCCCTTCGTTTGCAACGGAGAGATTTGGGCCCATGAGAGGAAAGGGCTTGTCCGAGGTTAACTGGAGGTCAGCATCGGACCTAAGACAGCTGAGCCCTGACTCAATGCTGTGCCCCAAATGTGACATCGTGTTATATAGGGCACTGGGGAGACAGGGGGTCCCCATCACACCCAGGACTATCCCTTGCCCCTCAACCAGTCTGCTTCTCTCAGTGCCCCAGATGGGGTGGGGGTCGACACTCTACACATTACAGGCAGCCAGCAGGCTGCATTCCTAGGCTCCGCCCAGCGAAGCAGGGAACACCTGAGCTGGAGGAGGCCCCAGGTGGGCCATCTCCCAGCCCCTTCGGTGATGCCGCCTCCCTCCCACCAGGTGTGAATGAAGTTGATTACTGCCTCTACCCTGCGAGGGAGACCCAGCTACAGTGGCTGCACTACTACCTGCAGGCACAGAAGGGGATGGCCGTGACCTCCAGCGAGGTGCAGCGGCTCTACGTGCAGGTCAACAAGTTTGCCCTGGTGAGTGCGTGTGGCTTGGTGGCTGGCAGGGAGCAGGGCAGGGCGGAGCCTGGAGGTGGGACAGGGACCCACCCCCAGCTCCTGCCTCTCACAGTCTCCTGGCGGAGGAAACAGGGCCAGGTGTGAGGTCCCGGGGAACCCTACCCTAGAGGTGAGATCGAGGAAGAGCCCTCTCAGGCACCCCCATAATACTAACGTACCCTGTTCCCTGCTTCCCCCACCCCCCCAGGTCTAGGTTCTCCCTTTCCTGGAAACTGCTTCCAGGAAATCTCAGCTTCCTATTTTAGCAGTTCTCTCACTTGGACCAGTTCTTTCTAGTGTCTAACCTTAATCTTTCATGCTACAGTTAAACACTCCCCTTCTTTTCTATAGCCTTTGGAGGAGATAGAGAATGAATGTTAGCTCTAATCCTCCTTGTTAGCGTCCTCTGCTGACTCAGAACTCCGTAAGCCTTTCCCGTCAGGCTCTTCCTGCTCCGATTACTGTGCTGTCGGTTCTTGATCCGTGTGCCACTTACTCGGGGTCATGGTTCATGCCAGGTGTCCACTGGTGTGTGCCCAGGAGCATGCTAACTAGTCTTACTAGTGTCAGCCATGCGTAAGCAAGTAAGTCAGCTGCCCCGAATTTCACAATCCACCGAAGTTCAGCTGCCCTTTCTGTCCTCACGGCACAAAGCTGGTTCTCCTTCAGGCTCTTCCTCCTGGCTTGTTTCACTCAATGCCTTTCTCTTGCTAAAGTTTCTAGGGGTCACTCATACTTGCGAATTGGCCTACGCCCCCTTTAAGTCCTGAAAAGGGCAGAAAGTGGAGGGCGGTACTGGATAGTCAACCCCAGAGCAAGCAGGACTTGGGCCGGGGTGGGGGACCCCAGCAGGGAAAGTACTGGTGTCACCGCTGTTTGTTGGGGGGCAGCCGGAAGCTCGGCTCTCGGTGACCTGGGCCCCTGGACGCCTCTGGCTCTGGGGGAAAGTTGAAAGCTCAGTGCCCAGATTCTGGCTTCTTATTCCCACATCTACACTCATTTTCCAGCTCGACCACCTCCTGATAGAAGGTAGGGAAAGGTCTCTTTAAGGGGCCGTCTACCAGACCTGGCCTTGATGGCCATGTGGCTGGGCACTGCTGAGGGGCACTAGCCCCCACCCCGTCCTGGACCTGTTGGCCTTGAAGCCTTGAGGAGGAGCTGCCCTGGCGCGGACGCCGGGGGTCACCTCTGTGTGGGCCGGGAGCACCATCTCGCCGACCTCCCGAGGGGGCTGGGGGGAGAACCGACCCTGCTTGCCTTCTGCTAGAGGGAGTGGAGTCCCCAAATGCCACCTGGTGACCTTGCCTCCTGCGCTGGGGAGACCCCACCGTGTCCCTGCCAGCGTCCTGGTTCTGTGTTTGCCAGAGAGACTGCGCCCCTGGTGTGCCCGGGGTCAAGGACAGGCTTGGGAGGATGCCCAGCCACCCTCTGCTCTGTTTGCAGGCATCTCACTTCTTCTGGGCGCTCTGGGCCCTCATCCAGAACCAGTTCTCCACCATCGACTTCGATTTCCTCAGGTGAGACTCGGGGCCGGGGGGAGGGCGGGGGGGCGGGGGGGAGGAAGGTGAGGGTGTGGGGGCAAAGGACAGCCCAAATGGAACGTCCAGAGTCCATGCCTCTGCTAACGTGTCCCCACCAGCCAGCCAGGGCCAGGGGTCAGTGCTCCGGGGGAGGTCAGCAGCTGGTGCAGCTCTAGAAGGAGCCTGGAGTTCATGCACCTGCCCTGCCTGGCGGGCGGGCGATTACACTTTCCCTGCCTCCTCCTGCAGCTGTAGGGCCCTGGCCACGGGGCTGGTGGGGAATGGGGTGGCTGCAAATCAGTCTGAAAGGTCATGAGCCCAGCCGCCATTCCTTAGCAGAGGGGTCAGCGTTCCCGAGTGGAAGTGACTTGCTGAGGCCACTGGGTGGTTTCGTGCTTGCTGTGGGGGCTGTCAGACCCCACTCCTCCTTCAGCGGCCCCCAGGGACGTGCTGCAGGCTGTACCGACATTGTACTCAGATACAGACTCCACGGGGGTGGGGGTGGGGGGTTACATCATGTGGGTACATACGCCCCTAAGGGCCAGGAATCACTTTGTTCTTCATTGTGGTCCAGTCTCCTCCCGTCTCCTCCCCATCCATCCTGGTTTCAAAGTGTCCACAGCCATTAGAGGTAGGCGGTCAAAGGCTCAATGAGCTACATCACCATCAGGATGGCTACTCTCAGATAAACAGAACATAATTGTTGGCAAGGATGTGGAAAAACATGTGGTCCGTGCAACTGTGGGAAACAATACTGTTCTTCCTCAACAATTAGAGTGACTGTGTGACCCAGCAAGCTCACTGCTGGGGAGAAGGACTGAAATCAGGGGCTCAAAGGGGTACCTTGGCGCCCATGTTCACGGCAGCATTTTTCACAATAGCCAAGAGTAGAAGCACCCCATGCCCATCGATGGCAGAATGGGTCAACAAAATGTGGTGAATTCATGCACTAGAACATTATTCAGCCTTAAAAGGGGGATCACATCACGTGCTACCCTATGAATGGACCCGAGGACACTGTGCTAAGTGAAATAAGCCAGTTACAAACCCAGAAACTGTAGGATCCCCCTCTATGAGATAACTTCACAGGAACAGAAAGTAGAGTGGTGGTGCCAGGGGCTGGGGCAGGGACAGGGAGAGTTGCCGTTGGAGGGGTATAGAGGTCAGTTTTGTAAAATGAAGTCCTCGGGATCTGTTGCTGAACTGTAAAACATCAAAAATGACCTTGTTGGAGAAGAGTAGGTTTAGTCTGTGCTGAGAAGAAAGTAAAATTATAATTGAAGTAAAAAAAAAAAAAAATCAGCCTGGGCTGGGGTCGACCTGCACAGACCTGGGTGGGCTGCACTGGTGAGCGGCTGTGTGAGCCCCAGCACAGCTCCCCTCCTCACCCCAGCTCCCTTCCGTCTTCGCAGGTACGCAGTGATCCGATTCAACCAGTACTTCAAAGTGAAGCCTCAGGTGTCCGCCTTGGAGATGCCAAAGTGACCCGCGCCCCCCTCCCTCCCCTCCCCATCTGCCTGGCAGGCTGGTTCTCCGGGACTTGGCTCTGTTCTGGGGTCTGCACCCTCGGACAAGGTGGGAGAGGGGCCAGGTGGGTATCCGGGGAGAAGGCTGCCAGCCCCTCGTGGGCGCTGCTGTGACCACATTCTCTTGTTTGGAGGTGTTGATGGACCTAGCTCTGGGGGTCCCCTTGGCCTGGCCAGACCTGGGGTGGCGGGGAGTGCTTGCAGCAACCAGAACTCAGACCACAGCCACCCCTGGGAAGCCAGCGTTCTCAGCCCCAGGCCAGGCTGGAGTCTGGGCTGCCTTAGAGGTGTCTTCAACCCTCCTGGCTTGGGGAGAGGGACAGTTGGGAGGGTCCTTTCTACCTCCAGTGCCCTGAGCCTGCAGCCACCTCCCACAGGCCCCATGTGGGAGGTGTGGAGCCCAAACCAGCACCATGCCAACTCTGACAGGTGGATGTACATATTTTGGGGGGTGAAGAGGGGGGGTGGGAGGGAGGGTTCTAGAAGGGTTTGAGACCTCCCTAGCAACTGCCTCATCTGCGATGTTTCTTCGAGCCAGATCCAATCAAATAGCCCCTTCCCAAACCTCAGTCCAGGGGCTCGTCCTGTGCCCTCTGCTCTGCGCTGTCCCTCTGCAGCCTGCTGGGAGGAAGGCCAGGGAGCGCCAATGTCCTGGGCCTCCGGAGCCTGGCTCTACTTCCTGCTGTGGCTTGGCCAGAGGGGAAGGGCCAGCAGCCTTGTTCCTCCCCCTGCCTCCTCGGGATCGGTCTCTCCATGGCCACCCACTTGGGGTGGACTAGTGGGAGTCGAGGAGCAGGCCCGGGCCCAGGGCTCTCCTGGCAGGCTGCAGCCTGGGTAGGATCTGGCTAAAGGTGCCGACATCATTGTCTGACTCTCAACAGTCTCCACCTCCTTTCTGCCCTCGCAGCCTGGGCCCAAAAAGTAATTCATTTGTAAATTATCTTGATTTTTCTGCATTAAAATGGCCATTCTGGACCACTCTGTGTCTGAGTGCAGCTGAGGAGGCTTTGACTGGAGGGTGTTGTTAATATGCCTGTGGTGGTGGTGGGGCGGGGGAGTGTTCCAGCCCCCGTGGGGTCCCCTCAGGTAAGCCAGGTGTCCCCTGCACTGGATGCACCTGGCCTGCCTAGCCCTGGCTCCTGGTTTGGGGCAGATCTGGTGGTTTCTGCCTTTGACCATCTTGCTAGACTCAGTTGGCTCTGGGAGGATGTGGACTCCTAGAGCGTGGCTTTATCCAGAGGTTGAACCAGTGGGACACTGAAGGGTAGTGGACCACTTCTACCGTGGTCCTCCGGCTCGGGTCTGCCTGGAACCAATCTGTCGCTTTCAGGAGGCTAGAGAGAAGGGAGGCAGGAGCTCCAGGTGAGCTGGGGTGCCCGTCTCAGCAGCCCAGATTGCTAGGGCTGCCTCAAGACTGGGGAGCAGTGCCTCCAGGCACCCCCCCCCAAGTGCCCCGGGCCCATAGGGGCAGTATCGGCCCCTGTCAGGTGGACTCTGGCTGTTTGACTTTTGCCTGCAAAAGTGCCAGGGTTCCATGGCAACTGCTGAGCCGAGCTGGCCTGCAGCCGGAACTGCCTCCAAGGTCCCGGTGACCTGCTGTGGCTGGGCCCCAGTGGGCAGCAGGACTGAGCCCAGGGGTGCCAGCGGCACAGGGGTGGTGCCAGGTCTGGGCAGGGCAGGCCCTGAGGGTTCTCTGTGGGGTCAGGTGGTCACGGTGTAGCCCTCCTGTGGACTGAATGGCAGTGCCCGCTCTCTGTTCCTCTCAGATCCACCTCCGGAGCTGAGGGCAGGAACGACCATCCTCCCGGGCCTTGATGCCATAGTGTCGGAGATGGTGTTGCAGTGATGAGCAGGGAATGGCTGGTCCAGGGACCCCAGGTACCGTTCTGGCCCCTACGGCCCCTGGTCCCCACACTCACAAGGGTGTTAACCTGCAGGCACCATCCTACTCCTTTGGAAAAGCATCCTTATTCCTCAATTCTCCAGGGAAGAGGGCAGGTGGGGCAGGCAGGGCGGGTGAGAATTTAGGCCAGCAGTTCTCAACCTGTGGGTCGAGACCCCTTTGGCGGTCAAACGACCCTTTCCCAGGGGTCGCCTAAGACCATCCTGTATATCAGATATTTACGATTCATAACAGTAGCAACATTACAGTTATGAAGTAGCAACGAAAATAATGTTATGGTTGGGTCACAACATGAGGAGCTGTATTTAAAGGGCCAGAAGGTTGAGAACCACTGGTTTAGGCACATCCGTCCCCCACAAGCTTTGGAGTCCCACCATCACTCCAGACCAGCAGCACCCGGGCCACCTTTTAGACCCAGCAGGCACTGTGGACAAAGCATGCCTGGGCAGGGTTCATCTGCTGGGCTCGGACCCTTGGCCTGGGCAGGGGGAAGTGGAGGCAGAGAGTGAGCTTGTAACCCAGCCTTCCTGGTCATGATTCAGGACACTCTGTTCCTGGTCTTGCAACCAACCCACCTGCCCCTGTCCTGCCTCTCCTGGCAGGGGGTGGGGCTCCAGGGCACCCAGACTCCCAGGGAGGGGAGGGGAGGGCTTTTCGGTCCTAAATCACGCAGGGTATGTGGCTGTCTCTGCAGCTGCAATGAGGTTAGGACGAGGATTCCCAGAGTGGGAGGGGGCAGTACTGGCCTCAGGCTCCGAGGCCAGAGGACCTGGGAGTAGGGAAGCAGGAGGAACTCAGGGCTGGCAGGGGGTGAGGGGGAGCACAGCTGAGAGTGTCCTGCCCAGGCTCCCTGCGTTTGGTTTGGAGCAGAGCGGTGGTGGAGACTGGACGGGTGAAGGTAGATGGACAGAAGTTGAAATGAGCAACTCTCCCATGTGACCACTAGAGGGCAGGCGCTGCAGCCAGCCAGGCTGCTCTTCCCCAGGACCACCTGCACCTCCTCAGTAGCCAGGGAAGCTGGGCTCCGCTATGGAGACACAGGATGGGGAGGGCCAAGGAGAGGCCTAAAGCTCTGGGAGGCCAGGCTGGGGAAAACCACCGCAGGTTGGCAGCCAGGATGATCCCTAGCTCAAAAGGCTGGGACCCAGCCCAGCCACAATGGCTGAGTGTTGACCTGTGAACCAGGAGGTCCCAGTTCGATTCCCGAACCCATTCAGGGCACATGCCCAGATTGTGGGCTCGATCCCCATTGCGGGGCACGCAGGAGGCAGCTGACCAATGATTCTCATCATTGATGTTTCTCTCTCCCTCTCCCTCTCTGAACCCTCACTGTTGGGGAGTCTTCAATCCCAAAGTTGTGGCCCTGGAATCAACCACCCCCAATTTCTCTCACCAGCACCCTCTCCAGTTTAGGGCCCCCTCCCCCCTTCACCATTCAGGGGCCTCTGCTTGAATACTTCCTGTGTTGGAAAGTTCACCACCACTTTGAACATCTTTGTCAGAAAGCTGTTTTTTACTCTAAGCCAAAACATTGACCCTTGAGAAGTATCCAGATGAGCTGCAGATGGTTGGCATCTGACACCTCTGACGAGTGGTCTTACCCTTCGTCTCCTTGAACCAGGCCTCTAACAACACGGCCACTAGGATCCCTCCCGTCAGAGGGCTGCCTCTGGGCCCCTTCAGTGTGACAGCAGCCTTTTGTGTCGAGGGCCTAGGACTGCCATGATGCACCGGGGCCAGGCCTGTGGGGTGTACGCTGGCTCACCACCTCCCTTTTTGTTTTTTTAATATATTTTTATTGAGTTCAGAAAAGAATGGAGAGGGAGAGATAGAAACATCAATGATGAGAATCATTGATTGGCCGCTTCCTGCACGCCCCCCTGTGGGGATCAAGCTTGCAACCCAGGCATGTGCCCTGACCAGGAATTGAACCTAGGACCCTTCAGTCCCCAGGCCAATGCTCTATCCACTGAGCCAAACCAGTGAGGGCTCATCACCTCCCTTTTTGTGAACATGTGCCTCTACTACTCCAACCCAAATCTAACTCTTCCACAACTCTGCCATCCAGCTTGGCTGCTCCCATTCCATATTAACAGGGTTGATTTTTAACAAGCCTTATTGATCCCTGTTAATATCTGTTTTGGGAAATTTAATCTATCATGTAGCCCTGAAACACATCATTAGAGGCCCTGGGGAGCTCATACATGGGCTCGGGGTGTCCGTGTGCACACTTTTCTGGGAAGAGGGCATGTCCAGGGCTTTCATTAGATCAGTGATGGCGAACCTATGACACCTAGGAACTCATTTTTTTGGTTGATTTTTCTTTGTTAAATGGCATTTAAATATATAAAATATCAAAAATATAAATCTTTGTTTTACTGTGGTTGCAAATATCAAAACATTTCTGTATGTGACACGGCACCAGAGTTAAGTTAGGGTTTTTCAAAATGCTGGCACGCCGAGCTCAAAAGGTTCGCCATCACTGCATTAGATCCTCAAAGGCACCTCTTAAAGGGGTAAGAACCATGGATACGGCTTAATAACCTTGTTTTTGGATGAGGACAATGAAACCCAAAGGGGAGTCCTGACAACCCCCCACCCAACACACACACACACGTGACCAGTTGTGGGAGAACCCAAGCTTCCTGGCTCATTACAGCGTTTTACCTTCTTCCTTAGGGCCTGGGAGGACAGACACTTTGTGGTGAGGTCTGGCTCTGGAGACAAGGGCAGTGCTCCCCTCGTCCAGTGTGCACTGGGGGCTGGGGACAGGGTAAGGGAGTGGCGGGGCGGGAAGGGGGGCTGAGGGGATCGTTGAGCCTGAGCCCCCCTTGCTTGCTGGGGATGTTTCCTCTCCGCCCAACGCCTGGAGGTCCCTCGAGCTGCCACGAGGGGGCAGTGGTGCCTGAGCTGGTGCCTCCCCGCTCCCTTGTGCAAGGGCCCGTGATTCGGAAATGGTCTGCCTTTATTATACCAACAGAAAACAAAAAATTCCCGCGTGTAAACAGGAGAAATGTGCTGGTTAAGTTACTCATCATTATCTTATTATTAACAAAATAAAGCACTATGTTTACAGTCATAAAAAAAGAAACAGCCTGGAGAGAAGTTGGGCTTTGGGGAGCAGATGAGGGTAGGCACAGACTCCACACCTGCCCCTGTGGGATTTGGGGTTCCCTTCCTACTCAGACCCACCTGGATCTTTGGAGTCATGCCAAAGAGACTTAATTTCCTTAAGGAAATAACTTGTGCGGTGATCGGGAGCAGAGGCAGGTCCCCGGTGTAGAGCCAGGAGCAGGCAGAGCTGTGTGGGGGGGATGGAGACCAGTGCCGAGGGAGCCGGCTCTCCAGGGCTTTCGTCACTGACAGGAAGGGGGCGCCACCCGTCCTCCTGCTCCCACTCCTGGCACTCGGATGGGGCCAGGGTCTGGGCCACCAGGACGGAGCTCCTTGGAGGCCGAGCACATCCCATGCTGCTGGGAACCGACAATGGCTGTGGGGACCCACCAGCAAGTCAGGGAGGGGGTGAAAGGGTGGGCAGGGAGGCCAGGGTGGCCCAGGGTCCTTCAGAGACCCAGAGTGACCAGGGCAGAGCGGCAGTCAGACACCAGGAGGGGAGAGAGACACGGGGCCCTGCAGAGACAGGACAGAGAAACGCACACAAGGATGCACAGAACCTGAGACACCCAGACTGACAGAGGTAGCAATTTGGGGACAGAGAGAGCTCAGAAAGCGGCCCCAGAGAAGCAAGACAGCATCCAGGGACACACAGGAACTCAGCAACAGTGCCTGGCACATAGTGGGCACTCAATAAATATGCAGTGAATGACGGGTGAAGACGCGTGCACACGCGCAGCAGCCAGAGGCACACAGGCTTGGCGGCGATCAAACAAAGAGGGACAGCCAGACCGTTCTGCACCGAGTGCAAAGGGATCCTGGTGAGAAGAGCCATGTGTGCACGTGGAGGGGCGGGGGGGGGGGGGGGGGGGGGGGGGGGCGTTGGTCCCATGGTGGCTGGCCAGCCAGGACAAGAATGGAAACAAAGCGAGTGGCTCCAGGGAGGTGGGTCTGAAGCTGCCATGCCCCCAGGGGGGTAGACCTGCCGGAGGGGAGGATCATACAGTGTCCCCTGGCCATGAGCCCCGAAGACCCAGGAGCTCAGCCATCACCACCATGCGGGCCCTGCCATGTGGCCATGCCAGCAGGCGTGGTGGGGAGGGGGCCTGTGTCTACCAGGACACCCAAGTCCAGCCACCCAAGTCCAAGTACCAACAGAGTCCAGGTGAGCTGGCTGTGCCCCTGCCCGAGGCCAGGTCTCCCCAGCTCAGTCTGTGAGCACCACCAGCTCCCCGTCACTCTTCTCCTGGCCCTCCGAGTCCTCGTCCTCGCTGTACCGGTACATCTCGCCGTCGGCCACCGAGTGCCTGTCCTCCGCGGCCTCGGCCTCCTCCCTGAGGCTGCAGGTGTTCACGATGACGGGCATGCTGGGGTCCAGGCCTCGGGGCACACAGTGCTCCGCCGGGGGCTGTGCCACCCGAGGGAACAGCACTTCCGGGGCGCTCATCTGCACCTGGTCTGCCTGCGAGCTTCGGGGCAGACAAGAGGCGGGTTACTCGGCACCTTCACCTCCCCCCACCCGCTCCCCTCCAGGCCTCCTCAGGCCATGCCCTCTCACTCCCACCCCGCCCCCGTCTGCTGTCTGCTGGCCGCATTCATCGTCAGCGACAGCCCCGCACGCACATGGGAGTCTCAGGTCATAGGCGTGTTCAATAGATTCCTGGAGGACTGTGCTTGAACCCCACTTTTGGAAACTGTTTAAATGCTTGCTTTGGTCACGTCAGGAATAGCACCCCTGAATTTTTACTGAGTTTGTCAGAAATGGGATCCACAGGCACATTTCCCAGGTGCATGCCAGTCCCCCACACTCGGTCACAAATGTACATCCTGGGCCACTAGGTTCCCGCCACACACAGCTGCCCCTGCAGCCACACACACCCCCCTATGCACACAGCCAATAGAGAGGCACATGCAGTCACAAAGGCAAGTCACACATCAACGCCCAGCCACTCACAAGAGCAGCACACGCGCACACATACACACACACACACACGCACACGCACATGCACACGCACACGGTCTCAGCCGCCGGGGAGAGGGCCTGCTCACGGGGTCAGGTAGCTCTGGCGGGCATCCTGGCGCCGGGTCCTCATCAGGGCCTTGTACTCGCCCACCCGCAGCCGTTTGCCCTCCACGATGCAGGTGCGCTTGGGCCGCGGCTTGTACTTGTAGTCGGGGTACTTCTCCAGGTGCTGCCGGCTCAGCCGGGCCTGCTCCTCGTAGTAGGGCTGCTTCTCCTGGTTGGTCATGGACTTCCAGCGGGAGCCTGGCCCAGCCCCGGGGGCAGGCAGTCAGCGCTGGGCTCTGCCGACCACCCCCAGCCCCCTGCAGGCCCTGGAGGTGCCAAGGTTTTGAATTCCCAGATACATGTGAAAGCACTTAGCTGCTCCTGGGACGTCGAGCAAATGAATGAATGAAGTTGGCATGTATATGGGCATCCAACTGTCAGTTTAAGGTAGAGCACCCACACACATTCCTACCTACCCAGCAACTTCGGGGAGGGAGGCCTCTTGTCTGCAGGATTTGCATAAACAAAAGAGCAGCTACCGCAGGCCCCCAATAAACAGGCGCCCTGCTCAGGACAGAGTATCTGGTGTCTGTGCTCACAGGAGACCGGCACAGACACTGAAGGGGCCTCTTTTTTGAAAACAACTGCCCTCTTCTCACCCCACCTGCCCCACCCTACATCCCACCTTGGCCTCCGATCAGGAAACCTCATTTAACGCTTTCCACTGCCCAGCCCGTGTGGCTCAGTGGTTGAGCATCAACCTATGAACCAGGAGATCACAGTTCCAATTCCCAGTCAGGGCACATGCCCGGGTTATGGGCTCAATCCCCAGTAGGGGGTGTGCAGAAGGCAGCCAATCAGTGGTTTTTTCAACCATTTCTCTCCCCCTCTCCCTTCCTCTCTCTGAAATCAATAAAAAGCTTACATATTTTTTAAATGGTTTAAGACCCCAGGGCCCAGCTGTCCCACTTCCCGCCTGACTCCCACACCCCATCAGATTCCACCAGAGTTCAACACGGTGTGGGCTGTCACCATGAAAGCCCCAAGTGGATCCAGGAGGCCCCAGCCACCCTGTCCCCTGGCCTGTGGCTCCGGGACCCGAGCTCCGCAGACCCCCACCCTCACCGAGGATCTTGCTGATGCTGGAGTTGTGCATGTCCGGGAAGGCCTGCAGGATCTTCCTGCGCTCGTCCTTGGCCCACACCATGAAGGCGTTCATGGGCCTCTTGATGTGGCTGCTGTTCCGGGACTCGGGGAAGTGGCGGGAGCCTGGGGGACGGGGCGGAGTCAGCGGGGCAGCAGGAACAGGGAAGGACAGTCTCTCAGGGCCAGCAGAAAGAGCACCCCATGGTTCACCACTAGGGCGCGCTGGGGGCTCCCACAGCACCCAGCAGAGGCCAGGCCAGGGGCCCAAGGACAGACAGATACATATGGGACCCCACAGACATGACCCGCCCTGGTGGGAAGCAGAGGCGGGCCCTCCTGCCCACCAGCTCAGGGCCCAGAGCCTCACCGTCCACATCACAGCCCAGCATGACTTCCTCCAGGGGGTGCACACAGGTCTCCTCCAGTCGCTCCTTGACTGGGGACATGTCCAGGCTGATGAGGTCCTGGGATTGACGGGACAACCTGCACATCAGCCTCCCTCTGTCACCCCACTTCCCACCCCCACCTCTCCCTTTGGTGGCCTCCAACCCTGCCTTCCGCCCCTGGCCACCATCTGTTCCCTGCTGCCAGGCACAGGAGTGGGGGCCCATACCTTCCGGAAGGGCGTGTTGGGGGAGCTGTCCAAGGCCCCGCTGTGGCTGTGCAGCAGCTGCCGAGCATCCTGGATGGCCTTGGTGACAGCGTCCCCTTCACCGAGGAAGCCTATGGGACAGGAAGAGAAGGGACAGGGGAGAGGAGTTGAGGGCTCGCCCCATGCCATGCCCCTCCTGTGCTCCCTCTGGCCCCTTCCCAGGGCTGTTGCACTGCACATCCCCAAGGGGGTGCCATTTACACTGGCCGTGGTGTCCGTAGACTGGAAGTGAGGATAGTACGCCCTGAGACTGTGCAACCCCGGGGCCTGAACCACCTGAGGCCAGCGTGCCAGGCAGATACGGCGGGGGTGGGGGGCGGAACTAAAAGGGGCCAACCAGAGCAAGTCTAACCTAGAGGGGAAAGGTCATTCCCAAGGTCATACCATACTCTATACTCTCCCCTAGACGAGGGCTAAGGGAGAGGTACAGGAGGGAGGAAGCTTACCCAAAGGCAGGCTGGGGGGGCTGGACTGCAGGTCCCGTGTGGGAGCCCCATGGCTGGGAGGGCGGGGTCCACAGTTGCTCATCTTCAAGCTGGGGGAGCTAGAGGTGTTGGGCAGCTCGAGGACCTTGGGCTTGGCTGTGAGGTTCAGGGGCTGGGAGGGTTCCTGAGGGAGACCCAGAGGCAGAGGGTGAGAGACACCAAGGGAGGCCCCGCAGAGAGACAGAGGGGATAAGCATGCCCAGAACAGCCAAGGCGGCAGCCAGCCAGCCGACCAGCCCGGCTGGGGAGTGGGCAGAACGGTACCTGCAGTGGGTGGTGGGCGGCCATGGCCCCAGGCCTCTTCACAGCCGGGGCCTGGGGGCTGTGCAGCAGCTGGAGCGGATACTCCACTGCGGAGAAGGCGGCAAGGAGAAAAGTCCAGGATGAGCACAGGACAGCGCGGCGAGGTCCCAGCAGCACGAAGCGCAGGAGGCTCGGAGCTGGCCCTGCTTGCTTCCAACCACCGCGCCCCAGGCCCAAGGTGCTGCGAAGGACCTCCTGAGCCCTCCCCACCCCTGCCTGCTCGCCAACAGGCATCATCACCTGTCCTGCCCTTCCCAGCCACGGGGCCTGGGTTCCAAGCCTACGGTGAAACGAGAACAGGACACCGTCTACTCACTCTACAGACACTTGTCTTTTGGACCTACTGTGTGCAGGGTACACAAGCAGCTACCTGTTGTGCAGCCTGTCTCCTGTGCATTCTCTCACAATAATCCTTACGGTGCAGTATATAATAGGTGCTCATGGCATTATCCCATTTTACAGATAAGGAAACAGACCTGGAGGAGTTAATGGGCTCCTGTCAATGGGAGCTCTGACATGTGAACCCGGGCCCTCAGCCTGTCCTCTCCCCTCTGCACGGCACTCTCTTCTTCCTCGTCTACCTCGGCCTCCTCAGCCAGGCCCAGAATCAAGGGGTTGACAGTTCAGGTGGAGAGAGAGCCATGCATACAAATCACTAACCACGTGGCCCAGGGTCGTTTGGGACGAGTAGCTAGCATTCGAGAGAACTTTGCTCCAGATGGAGGGGCTGGAGCAGGCTCCTTGGGGGGCGCTGAGACGTGAGCTGACGCTGGCAGGCGCGCGGGGAGCTGAAGTGGTGGTGTATGAGAGCAGGATGTGGGCAGTGAGGTGGGCACAGGGTGGGCAAGGTGGGCTTGTGAAGGCCTAGCTCTGGAGCTTGGACCCCATGCTATAGGCGATGGGGCTCCGGGAAGGGGCATGTGTCGGCCTGCAGGCCCCCTCCTTACTAGAATTCTGGAGCAAACGAGGCAGGTGGCAGCCTGGCCACTCCAGGTCTTCCTCAGCTTAGTTCATGCCTCCCTTGTCCACAAAGTATGTGGCCCCTGCCCTCCTCACCCCTGCGTCCTCCTCACCCCTGCGGCTCTGCTCTATGTTCACCTGGAATGGCCATGGTTTGTGCTGCTGCCCTCCCCTCCCCTCCCCGTCTCCCGCTTCCAGCCTCCCCCCAGCCCACTGGAATCTTCCTTTAAGGCAGGGTCCGTGGGGCTGACAGGGGGCTGTGCCCATGGCCAGAGGCGTGGTGGGGAACCTGTCGGACTCCCCGGAACAGGGAGGGTGGCCGGAGGAGTTGACGTAAAAGCTACTCCCCTTCCTGGGCCATTACAGGCAGCATTTCTGCCCTGCCCATGACCACTCACGAGGAATCCACAATCGTGGCCTAATACTGCTATCGCTGCCTCTGTCCCACCGTCACTGCCTTCGGTCAGGCTATCACCTGCTAGTGCTGGATTCCCCTTAGCAGGCACCTACCGGTGTTCTACCTTCAGGGGGTCCCCTCCATGCCCTGTCCCCCACAGCCAGCACAACAACACATCCTCTACTAAGGGTTCAAGCACACCCCCAGCCTACAAAATAGAGCCAACCCCACGCTCAGTCCCACTGCCTCCCCAGCCAGTCCCCGCCACCTGGTCACACACTCGCCTCAGTTCCAGGGCCTCTGCCTGCACCGCCTCGCCCGTGCCCTCCACCCGCAGCTCCCACTCCACCTTCACAGTCCACTCTCCCAGGACCCAGGTAAGCGCCAGCTCCTCAAGACACCTTCCCAGATTCCCTGGTTGTTGGCAAACTTCTCCCTCCCTCCCCAGACTAAATTCCTGGAGCTCCCAGTCCACGCCATGTCCCCCATGGCCATCCGACAACCACACAGCGCCTGATGCGGTCGGTGTTTCAGGGACAGGGCAGAGCGCAAGAGTGACGAGGCCAGGCGAGAACAAAAGCATACATTTGGGAGACGTACATGGACGAAGGCTCAGTTAACGTTTAAGATATTAATATTCTGGTGCAGTAAGTGTAACAGGACTAGAGCAAGATCTGCTCAATGTGGAAAGCACTGTGGTTTCCAATGTACTAGCTTTCATTCTCCCAGTGACATTCTGAAACAAGGGATTCTTCTCCCACTGGGTGAGGCTGAGAAAGACTACACGGCAAGTTCATGGATGCGAGTGGTTCTAGGCCCCCCCCCCCCCCCCGCCCCTCAGGGACCTCCCCTCCACACTCACCTGGTTTGCAAGGGATTGGCTGGATGGGCAAAGCTAGCTGGGAGTCAGGGGTGACAGGGAGAGGCTGGTGGCTTGGGGGGAAGGCTGGGATCATGACATAAGGCATATTGACCTGCTGAGAGCAAAGAAACCCTGTGTGAGTCCCCCGGAGGCCCAAACGGCTGGTCGGCCCTGGACAGAGGGTAGACGGGGAGGAGAGGCGCAGGGCCTGGGGATCTATCTGACCCCACGCCACCTCCGTGGGCTGTCTACCTGCCCCCGGTCCCAGCTGGGAGGAAGATGGAAGATATTCTGAGCCCCTCCCTTGAAACAGAGGAAGAAGACAGGGGAGGGGAGGGGAGCAGGACTGAGCCCCCTCCTCAGGGTCACGTCTGAATGACCCTGCCTGTCCCTCCGTGTCCCAGCCCCTCTCCTGGCAGATGCCAGACCCTCAGCTCCAGCTCCCCCCTCGCCTGCCCACCCCTCTCATCACCTGGATCTGCTGCTGAAGGACATTGATTTTGTGCTGCTGCTGAATTAGCTGTTGCTGCTGCTTCGCGATCTGGCAGAGGGAAGAGGAGGCAAGGGGGGCGTGGGCTCGGGCCCCAGGTCCCACCTCCCAGATCCTTCTAGGCCCCACCACACTCAGCCTTCCAAGAGCGCAGACACGGAGGAGAGCTGAGCGGGCAAGAAGCAGAACAGCGAACCCACAGAATTTATTCTCCTTCCCCCAGAGGCCAGGGATGGGGGCTGGGCAGGACCCTTCAACATCCCCTCCCCACTTGGCTTACGAATAGCCAGGGGGGACTCCTTCGGCCCTGGCCCACCGCCCCCTCCCCCCAGAGCCTTCGCCCCCTCCTGCCCACCCCCTGGGCCCACACTGGCCAAGCCTGCCACCAAGGTGCTCCCCTCTGGGCTCTGAGAGTCCCGCCCCCTGGAAAGGAAGCCACACCGAGCCGGCCTACCTGCTCCTGCTGCTGCCGGGCCAGCTCCATCTGCTGCTGCTGTTTCTCGAACAGCATGGCAGCCATGTTCTTCTGCTCCGAGTGGGCGGTGAGGAGCTGGTCCCGCAGGGTGGACAGCTGATGGATCATGACCAGAAGCTGGAGCTCCTTCTCGGCCAGGCTCTCCTGGGTCCCTGTTCCGAGGGAAGCATTTCTGTTGCTCACCTGTCCAGCCATCCATCGTCTGATATTCAGTCTCGGGCCCGTTAGGGGCGACAGAGGTGGCTGACACAGGAGCCTTGCCCTGGACAGGGCTCCACATTGCGCTGTCGGACAACTAGCTGCCGCTGGAAATGCCGACGGTGGGGCCTCTGGGCCCTGCCCGCCCCTTGGACATCCTCAAGTGCCCAGGGCCACAGGGTCAGGGTGCACAACCATCCCCCAGAACGGCCCAGCGGACATGCTCAGGCTTTGGAGCAAGACAGACCAGGGGTCGAACCCCCCTTTGCAGCCACCCTGCCTGGGAGCTGCTGGCAAGATGCCAACTTCTCGGCGCTTGAGTTTTTTTGTTAATATATTTTATTGATTTTTTACAGGGAGGAAGGGAGAGGGATAGAGAGTTAGAAACATCCATGAGAGAGAAACATTGATCAGCTGCCTCCTGCACACCCCCTACTAGGGATGTGCCCGCAACCAAGGTACATGCCCTTGGCCGGAATCGAACCTGGGACCCTTGAGTCCGCAGGCTGACGCTCTATCCACTGAGCCAAACTGATTAGGGCGGCGCTTGAGTTTTTTAATCTACAAGTGAGCACACGGGATTGAAGGACAAGGAATGCAAAACTTTTAGTCCAGGATCTGGCCACCGACACCTGCTCGTGCTCCCCTGCCCTCCAACTTAGCCAAGGCAGACGCAGAAGCGCCAGGCCAAGGCCCCGTGCCTCGGAATTACTCGGAGTCTCTGGAAAATACAGATGCCCAGGCCCCGCCCTCTGGGGTTCACTCGGTGGGTGGGGGTAGCACCTGGGCATCTGCATTGCTTTAAAGTGTCCTCTGTGACGGAGACGCCCACTTCACTGAGCCAGACATACGAACCTCGACGGACGGCCTTGTGAAAAACGTCTTGGAATTAGCCCTGACCCTACCACCCTCGTCAGCAGGCAAGGTCAAGACAACTAGTGGCGCCCTGGCTGGTATGGCTCAATGGATGGAGCTTCGGCCTGCAAACTGAGGGGTCCCAGGTTCGATTCCAGTCAAGGGCACATGCCTAGGTTCTGGGCTCAATCCCCAGTAGGGGGCATGCAGGAGGCAGCCGATCAATGATTCTATATCATCATTGATGTTTCTATCTCTCCCCCCCTTCCCTTCCTCTCTGAAATTAATTTTAAAAATTTATTTTTTTAAAAAGAAGCTATGTGATTAATTACTATTCTTGCTGAACTTCTACAAATAATCAGGCCAAATTTATTGAAACTAATTTTACAAGTCTTAATGTGGCTTTCTTTGGTAAAGATGGGAGTGATTATAGAGAGAAAATATGTTTCAATACAAACTATAATAGACCTTGTGGATATGAGATTCTATTGCTGTTCACTGTCTTTTGAGTTTTTAAGACTTTCTACCTATAAACTGGACTGGATCCTGAGTTTTTTGTTTTCTTAAATATCTGACTGCAACCCTTCAAACTAACATTTTCACTTTCCCATCCTTTGACTTAGAATCACTGAGCACTAAAACCGCCCTTTCCCAAGGCCACAGAAGCTAAAGAGGGACAACGTAATGTAGACCTCAGAGAAGTCACCCCAACAGCTCATCTCGGGACAATCTTTGTGCCGGCAGCAGGAGGATCGCCAGACATTCACATGCAGACCACTGCCTTCGCTCCATCTGAAGATGCTTCGAGCCAGACATCTAGAAATCTTCCCAGCTGCCTGCCTTCAGAACTCAGAAACCGAGATTACAGTCTGCTTCAATCATTAACCTTGGTTTTCCTTTGGTGTCCATAGCGGCCTCTTACTGAAAACCTGGCTGCTTGCACCATGGGCATGGCTTTGGGAGCCCACGGGCACCCTGCCTCCTGAAATGAGATACGACTTTGGCCACCCCAACACGTGTGCTGCGGCGTGCGATGGTTTTGAGCTAAAGGCAGTTTTAGCCTCAGGCTCAAGAGAAACCTCTGCCCCACCTTTTACGAGTCACTTCCTAAAGGAACTTGAATGAGGGGCCTTGCCCATAATTAGAAATTATCAGCACAATCTCCTTTTAACCCACCTATATGACAGGGCAACATTTTATTTACTGAACATCTGCTCTTCTTGGCATCCTGCAGGGACCCTGTGACGCTCCCAAGGCATCTCACCGCACCCCCGGCTCAGTGTCTTATAACTTCACTCCCCCTTTCTATCTCTGAACTTCTCCTGCAAGTGGGGTCCCTGACTCTCTCCTGTATGTGGGGTCCCCATACATATGTATGTATTACATTTGGTTATTTTCTCCTGCAAATAAATAAAGCGCCCTGTGTGAGTGTGATCAACCGCATGGGGAAAATGATCTCCAACGAACCGCTCAGCACCCTTGAAGTCACTCAGTGGGGTCCTGTGACCTAGAAACCATTTTCAAACGTGAAAAGGAACGTTCAGGTCAGTCTGTAGTGAGACCTGGGAAGTGGCAACGACATGCCGAGGTCACGAGGGTCCCTGCTCAGAGCCGGAACCCATATCCAGGAGACTCACTTCCCGTCAGGCCTCTCCCGCCCGGGGGTGAGTGCGCAGACCTCATGCTTGACCAGGAGGCAGGCAGGAGTCCGGCGGCAAAGCCAGCTCTGAGAGCAGAGAGCCCCGAGAAGTGCCCTGTAGGCCTAGACTGCGTGGTCAGGCCGGGAGGAGGGGTAGGGGGGTTCAGCCATCCCGCCCCTGCCCGCCCCCAGGGCCTTCACCTTTGACATCTTTTGTTTCCACGGAGCTTCTTCCCAGAAACCTCTCCTTCCAGTCACTGGACAGCAGCTTCTCGATGGCCGGCACAACTGGAAGGCACCAAAGGCGTAAGGACCACACCGTCCCCGCCCCGCCCCGCCCCGCCCATCTCCAATAAGGCGGACGCTTACCCTCCTTTAGATTTCGGTTGAAGTCCAGCTTCTCCTGGCTCCCAGAAGCAGCCTCAGAGTCGCCTGGTCTCTTGGGCTCAGGGGACACATTGCTCTCTGGTGAGCTGCAATCCTAAGGACACACCGGATGCCGCTGTCACCTCCAGGAGAGGGGGGCAGGCCGCAGCCAGGGCCGAGCACCCCGGAGATGGACACGGTGGGGCCCTCCCTCCCACCTTCCCTACCTTTGCTCTGATTTGCCTGATTTCCTAAAGAGAATAAAAGGCTTAAAGATAAGCAACCAGGCTCAGTCCAGGCTGTGACTCAGGTCCTGGATCTCACATGAGTCCCTGAACTTCTCTGAACCTGCCTCTGCCTCTGAGAATGGAAACGCACCCGTCACGGGATTGTGCTGGAATAAAGGGAGCCAACGCCTGTGGCCGAACGCCAGCTTATTGCTCCTCTGCGCACACATACCCGCCACTCCACCCAGGTGGGGCACCCCTAGGGCCCCACCCAACACACTGCGGATGGATCGCGAGAATTCTCGTGTTTTCTGTTCTGAGGCTTGTGACCAACCACAAGAATCCTTTAAAAAGATGTTAGCTTGTAAGAACGTGTAACAGATAACTTCAAAAGGCAATGGGCATTTCATTGTAAAGCGTGCCTTTAACGTTTATGTAAAACGTTTTTTGTACTCGTTCAACAGAAACTTATCTGGCCACTGGGTAAAGCTAGCAATAAAAGTACTGGTCCGCAATGTGTAGACACTGACCCCTCTCTCCTCTCCTCCTCTGACTCCTCTCCTCTAAGATCCAGCTTCAGGCCCCACTCCTCCAGGAAGCCTCCCCTGATCACCACCCAGCCTCCTAACCTGCTCCCACACACGCCCGCAGGCTGGACCCCTGCTCAGAAAGAACCCTACAGCTCTCCTATTTTCTCCTCACTTGGCTTTTAATTGTATATTTATTCCCTTTTTACATCTCTTACATGGAATCACGGAATTCCTCAGAGCTGCCAGAGTCCTTACTGCTCCTGTAGTTCAGCTCCTTCATTTTAAGGAGGAGGAAGTGTGTTGTCCTAACGGCAACTTAACCCTGGCTGTGGTTATAAGACTGGTTTTCTTAAATCAGATCAAAAGGCTGGTAGATTACCGCTAAGCTAAACTCTGAGTATAAGTATCCTATCTTCCCAACTAGTCCTTGGGGCAAGGACTGGCCACACAGGTGGCCCCCATGGGCTTGGCAGCTCCTCCCCACTCACCTAAGTCTTGCCCCAGAGATGACCATTTCTGCCTGCCCCTCCATCCAGCTGGGGGACTGGGGGCGGGGGAGGGGTGGTGCATGGATGTGGTGGGGACACTGACCCAGGAGCCCCTGGGAAAGCGCTGGGCACCTGGGCTAGAGCTCGGGGGTCATCACCATCCTGGGCGGCTCGGGCTGGGTCTCCGGGCTGGGGGTCAGCTGTGGCAGCCGAGCCCGGGGGGGCCTCGCGGCAGGGCTCCTGCTTCCCCTCGGACTTGACGGCACAGTTCACCATGGTGCCACCGCCATCCAGGGCCAGCTGGGCAGAGCCGGGGCTCCTCATGGACATCCTGAGGGAGGAGGGCAGAGTGAACGAGGCGCGTCCTGAGACCCAGGGCAGCTCCTCCTCCCCCCCGCCCCAGCGGGTCCCACACAGGCACCCATACAATACGGAAGCTCCCACTGGGGGCCCCCAGTGTACACATATTTGTAATGTTACCAAAATTTAAAAACCAAGAAGATATCACATAAAAATCTGGATTTGAACTTCTCTTGAAGTCGGTCTGTGGCAGCCATTGGCTGGAAATGAGGTGCCCCCATGGACAGGCCAGTCTGCCTTACTCCCCACCACTCCCGAAAAGGGAAGCCAAGGATCAGCTACCCTGTATCATACGGTTATCCTCTGTCTTCCTCATAGTAGAGATGATAAAACAGAACTATTTCGTATATCCACGTCTCTACCAAAAGTGGGAAAAGAGCAGGCTGAGAGGTGGATGAGGGGCTTTAAGAAAACGTGTCCTTTGATGTAGCTACAGTCTCCATGAGAGCTGGCCCAGCAGGCATCTGCGATCCCAGCTTAAGCACTCTGCTCCCACTGCTGCCTGCCTCCCCACCTGTCACCTCTAGAGTGGCAGGGCCATCCCAGGGTCCTGGGGAGGGGTTGCCAGGGGTCATGCCAGGCTCAGGGCCAGAGAGGCAGACAGATCCCCACAGCTGCCCTGCTCACCCTCCAAAGTCACCGAGACAGGCCAGCGGGGGGTCCCACAGCAGGTTCCACTGAGTAATGCCTGGGTCCTGCCTTGGACACTCAACTAGCTGCCGAGTGACCTTGAGTAACTTATCCTCTTCACACCTCAGTTTCCTCATCTGTAAAATGGGCTGGGAACTGTTATTGTACAGTGTCCGGAACACTACCAGGCAGCAGTAAGCACCTACGTGGTCTGTTAGACCACGGCCAGCTGGGATGATGCAGCACAAGGAAAACCACCTCAGCAGGGCCTGGAGGCTCAGAGGCCAAGCCATGGGTCCCTCACGAATCAGAGGCTCTGCGGGTGGGGCGGGGACCTGTTTTAACAAGCCCTCCAGGTGGTTCTGAAACATGCCGCTTCGAGAAGCACTGTTAAATAAAATTGTTTTTACGTGGGCATTAATTTTTTAAAGAGGGGAGTGCCAGGCAAAAATCAGATGTAGTAAAACATCCCTTAAATTAAACTGCAGGTGCACTGTATCTGTCTAGTGCATCAACTCTGTGCAACTCAATGTTTCTCGTGACCCGTAATATATGACAGAATGTGCCGCATACAACACACGAAATAAGTGAAAAGGCCTTGCAGCTGAATAAGACGTGTTTGATTTGGTGCCATCCTACAGGTCAGCCCAGACTCTGCTGCCACTTGCAGAAGGCAGGGTGCCCTGGGGCTGGTGTGGGACCCAGGACAGGGCACTGCAGGGCAAGGAGGGGAGGCAGGCCTGACCCTGGGAGCGCCAGCCCAGGAGCCAAGACCACAACCACCAGCTCACCAGGGCTTTGGGGTCCAGCCCCGGGTGCCCTCCCACCAGCCAGGGACCTGGAGAGCAACCAGGAAGTGGGCGGCTCAGCCCATCCGGGCACAGGGAGGGGTGCGGAGCCAGGTCAAAGCGGGCGGGCCGGGTGGGGGAGGGGGCAAGGGGGGGTATTATCCTGAAGCTGAGGGCAGCAATTACATAACAAACAAACCCGGCTCAAGCTGTGAATTAATCAAACCGCTGAAAATAAAACCTTCCTCTCAGGAACTTCAGACAAAAGAAATGAAAACAACCAGGCAGGCTGGGAAATAAAAGGCAGCGGTGCTGAAAGGGGGACAAAAGGAAACCAGACAATAGGGTGTTGGACAAAGGCAATAAAGCCAAAGGAAGTGTGACAGGCGAACAATGCGGGCCTGTGGCTTTGAGCCCGCCCGGCCGGCCCACACCCACCGCTCCGCCGGTCTTGGCCCGGGCAGGGCAGGGCAGGGCAGGCCACCGGGTCGCCTCCTTCTCTGGACTTGGGTCCTAAGGGCCTTTCTCCTCCATTCGGTCCCAACCTCGTGGCCTTCCGGCTCCCTCCGCCCAGCCTTCCTTCCCACGGCAGCCCAGCCGAGAACCCACGCAGCAACGCATGGTTCGGCGAGCAGGTCCGGGGCCTCCAGGCCTGGGTGGAACTGGGCTGCCGCCCCCCAGAGCCAGCTGCTGACCGTCCGTCTGTCCCCCGCTGGAGGGGAGGCAGAGGAGGGCATTCTCCGTCTGAATGGGCCCAGCCGCTGGCCCGCGAAGCCACTGAGAACGTACAACTGCCCGGCCCCAGTGGCAACGGGCTCCGTGTGAAATACGCCTGGGCTTTCAGGCATCAGAACGTAAAGTAGCTTGAAAAGAGCTGGTTCTGTTGCATTGACACCATTTTGTAAACGTTGGGTTAAGTAAGACACCGGTGAAGGTTCACCCACCTGCTCCTCCGTCAGGCTACACGAGAAAAGGTAGTGACCCTGTGGCTCACACTCCATTCCCGTGGGCACTGCTGCCCTCGGACATGTCCCTCCTCTCTGTGGCCTTGCCCACCCACACCTCGCCCCCAGAGTCCTCCGTGGGCTCTGTGATGACCTATCTCCTGGGAGCCCGTCTCCTGGAGCTCCCCCTGGCTCAGCCTGGCCTCTGGCCCAGCGTCTGGTAACAAAGAAAATGGCTTCTGGTGACCAGCCAAGCTGGCTGGGAGGCGTCCGTCTGTTCACCAGGCCGGGGTGCCCACCAAATAACCCTGCCAGAGCCTGCTGCCCAGACAATGGCCCTTTACTCCCACGGGCTCGGACTCGCGTCCAACGCTGGGCACTGGCTCTGGCCGGCCCTCCCTGCGCCCGAGGGCTGATGGAGCAGCAACAGTGCGGCCCCACGGGTCCTCTGGGAGGCACCTCCGGGTCTCAGCTTTGGGGGAGAAGGTCCTTGGGCCCCTCTTTTCCTTCCTCTGCCCCCTGAGCACAGGCTGCTCAAGAAGAGCCTTCCTGTCCTTTCACGGCCTGAGGCCCACAGACAGGAAAGTCTCTCCGAGGAACATGGGTACCAGGCTCTGGACCCCAACCACCCCAGCTCTTTGCGAATGCTGAGCAGAAGTCATGTGTGATAAACTAATCAAGGGACAACGAGGTGCAGGGTAGGGAACTGACACAGCCCTGCTGTCACTGCAGCTGACAGTCCCTGTACAGCAAGCATGTTAAATTCAAAGGCTAACACGGGCCCAATAAACAAGGCATGCGGCCCACGGGCTGCGAGTTTGACATGCTTGCTGTACAGGTTGCTTGACCTCTGCGGTCTTTGTAAAGCAGGGTACCCGGGGTGGGGGTGGAATAGAGTGGAAAGCGCACAGGCTTTGGGTTTAACGACCTGGGTTCAAATTCCTGCCCTACGACCAGCTGACTTGGGTTTAACGACCTGGGTTCAAATTCCTGCCCTACGACCAGCTGACCTGTGTGACCTTAGGCAAGTTAATTCACCTCTGAACCTCTGCCTCCTCAACCATATATTGGGTATAAGAGCGCAGAAGGGCCCTAGCCGGTTTGGCTCAGTGGACAGAGTGACCGATGGGTCCCGGGGTTCAATTCTGGTCAAGGCCACGCATCTCGGTTGCAGGCTCCTCCCAGCCTGGGCCCTGGTCAGGGTGTGTGGAGGCAACCAAAATCGATGTTGTTTCTTTCACATCGATGTTTCTCTCTGTGTTTCCCTCTCTCTTCCACTCTCTCTAAAAACCAATGGAAAAATATCCTCGGGTGAGGATTAAAAATAAAAAGAACCCAGACCAGACCGCACAGGAGTCCATGAAGATGGGATAATACAGGGTAAGCACCATTACGTTGTTGGATGGCCCAGGATGCTCCTAGAGCAGTGATGGCGAACCTTTTGAGCTCGGCGTGTCGGCATTTTGAAAAACCCTAACTTAACTCTGGTGCCGTGTCACATCTAGAAATTTCAGGATATTTGCAACCATAGTAAAACAAAGACTTATATTTTTGATATTTATTTTATATATTTAAATGCCATTTCACAAAGAAAAATCAACCAAAAAAATGAGTTCGCGTGTCACCCGACACGCCTGTCATAGGTTCGCCATCACTGTCCTAGAGTCAAGTGGTTGAGAGAAAAGCCTGTGGGTGGGGTCTTGCAGACCCGAGCGCATTTGAAACCCAATTCAGCCCAATTAATTGCTGTGCAACTTTGGGCAAGTGCCTTAACTTCTCTGCACCGGTTTCCTCCTCAGTAAGATGGAAATTTAAAAGCCCGCTATGAAGAGATGAGCCTTCCACTAACACTCCAGACGCTGCAATATATGCCCGTTTTCACATTCTCATGGCACCCTGAACTTGGTGTTCAAAGTACCTATCATAGCTGGTAATGACACCTTCACATGCTTAATTTATTTCTGACTCACCCAGTAGCCCGAGAAACCACTCAACCCCACTCAGGGTACTGTTTTTGCTCATCCCTGTGGCCCCAGAATCTAGCACAGTGTCTGGTGCAGAGAGTAGGTGCTCAATAAATATTCGTGCAACGATCAGAAAGTAGAATATAGCTCAGCAGCATAACGCAAGGCAGACCTGGATGCATCACAAGTGACAGCTACAATTACCCTCATTACTAGACAGATGCTGCTCTGGGCGGCTTCCCTCCCACAGCCCCACCTCCCACACCGTTATCCTCAGCTGCCTTTTCCTACATCTAAGATCTTCCCGGGGGTGACCTAAATCTCCCAGCAGCAAAGCAAGTCCATTCCCTTTGGTTTTTACCTTGGGGCAGGTGAAAACATTGCCCGTAGCTTTCAGATTTAAAACCTCTGTGGGAGTCTTCCCTACAGAGACTAAACACCCCCTCAAAGTCCTGTCCCCTTTTCTTACCAAGCGTGCTCCACGCTAAGACCATCCACGTGGTTCCACAGGAGGTTTTAAGCTCAGCAGCCACACACCCCTCGCCCCAGCCACCCAGGAGCCAAAGGACTCGGCCCACAGGAGATGGAGTTACTGGGCTCCCCCAGGTCCCACCGGGTCCTGGTCAGTGGCCACCCACTCTGGAG